CTTCCTTCACAAGAAAGGATATATAAAATGAATGGAATCATCATCCCTTTTCGTCTACTTTTAACTATGAAGTATTTCTGGAAATGGACAGAAGGACTCGAAATTCCTTCGCCATGTATCCAGGATTTCACAATGAGGTACCCACTTGGGTAGGCATAGTCCAATGCCGACGATGACGCATATTTCCACTGGCTAGCTAACTTAGCTTCACGTTAGTCAGTCCCCAACTCTGACCATGAAGCAAATCCGGTAAAAGGCCACTATCCCTCGGTTTTCTTCTCTAATTCCTTTCTCTGTGCTATTTTACTTTCTCGCCAAAGTTCGAAATTACATATAATTCGCATTTTGAAGTGAATTTTTATTAAAGATTTCATATATTTAATGTTAATAATTAGTCAAAATACGTACGTTGCAAGAAAATCGAAAGGTAAAAAGTAAAAGTCACTCCAAACATTTTCGAACGAAAGAGAAACAATAGACAAGTTCTTTCGGGTTTGTTCTATGAGAAAGGTGGATTAAGACGGGGACTCTTCTCTAATTGTTTATTCGAATATGAATTCGGTGATGGCATGTACTTTTGGATTTGTTCATGGGGTTGGGCGGCCAACCACGCTGCACCCAAACTGCAGAAGAAATTGAGGATAAGTCAGTCGATGACCAGAAAACTTTGTCCGCAACCGGCGAAAATGACAAGAAAACTGCTTATGCTGATGAAAGAATCCAACTTAAAAGCAAAACCACGTGATTAGACAAGTTAAGACAAAAGCCCAAGAAAACTGCACAAGTCGTAAGCGATATAGGCTGTGTTTGGTTCGGTTTTAGGAAATACGAAGCCATTTTCCTAAAGATCTTTGACTCAATATGTATTTACTGAAAGATAGGGTACTGGCCATTTTTGCGAGACATCAAGATTTGATTCGCTACGCTTGCTCTGTTGCTGTGGTTAGCACGAGTACAAACATGTGTGCTAGGTAATTATCAATATGTATAGTACTTTATTTATCCTAGCGAGCCTATAAGGCTGGGATTGAGCCCAAGGTAGAATCTATTTACCTAGGGTCACCAAGTTTGTACCCGGTTTACATTGTCAAGTGACGTAGAATATTTCAACACCCCCTTTCATGCAAGCTGAATTAGGATTGACATATGGAAATTTGGCTAAGGTGGGCGCACACACGGGAAAGGAACAAAATCTAACTCAAAATTTTGGAAAATCCAACCCAGAAGATTAAGTTTATAGGTGGAGAGAGACATCATGTGTATGAAGAGCATAAGAACCCCATTATCAAGCGATGTGGATATTTCAACACCTCCTCATACAACCCCTCACACGATGTGGATATTTCAACACCTCCTCATACAACCCCTCATACGTGTAAGTCGGATTAAGAGTGGCACATGGAAATTTGACTGATGGGAGTGAACGCACGTGCGAAAGGGGCAGAACCTGACTGTAATACCATATCAAAAAGTCTAACCTAAAAACTTAAACTTATAGATGGAAGAAGACCTTATGTATATAAAGAATATATGAACACCATTGTCAAGTGTGCTTAATAAATAAACATTTTAATTTTCAATTTATCGATCAGACATAACTCGAGAGAGATGCATTGGATGTTTTGAATTTCCCTTCGTTAGCTACCTAACGAATATCTTACGAGGACTCATTGACGAAATCTATTTATTAATAATTGCTGTGCTGATTTTCTAGCAATATCTTTCGCCGCCTGCCAGACCAGCTGTGTAACATCAAACCATATTTTTTTGGCCGTGGAAGTCCACAAACTATACGCGCATTGCTCTTAGTGGAATTGTCCCCAACTCATTTGAAACTAATCTGTAAATTATACCGAAATTTGTGACAATTCCTACACTGCACTGCAGTTTCGTGATGTTGATGAACTCTTCAGTAAAGAAATCGTTATGACCACCTTGTCCATGCATTCAAGTTAAGAAGATACCAAGATATAACTTTCTTCGTCTGCTGATTAAGCAAGTAGGACAGTCCTCTCATTCCGTGGAAGAGTTTTCATTGGGTATAGCTCCTACGGTATCTCATCTATTGTACCTTATCGCTTGGATCGAGCCAAGGCGACTCCCGGTGAGGCTATCGTGGCTTGGGCAAGGGTCGGCCTTACCAGATCTAGTGAGGGGAACTATCGCTGAGACTCACCCTTGCCTGGTTGGGCCTCGCCTATGGCAGTCAACAGCGACCCTTGCCCAGTCGAGGTCAGCTAGCCCTGCCATGGCTAGTGGCCGGTCACTGGTCAAAGGAAGAAGAAAGAAAAAAATAAAAAAAAATCAGAAAAAAATTCAAAATTAAAAAATATGAAAATATTATTAAAATTATCCACGTTAGTACAGGCGGTGCCACGTAGGCCGACCAATGTCTATGTCAATAATATCCGGCCAAAATTAGTCGGAAGGGATTGAATTGACATTATGTCAAAAGGTTTAGAACTAAATTATCACAAAAATTGGTTTATCAATATCAAAAGGCCGATGTGTTGTTCTATACGAATGTGAGGTGTTGGTGAAAACACAAATTATGATAACGAACCTCAAAATAGCCCAGATATTGATAATTTATAAGACAACAATCGCAATTTTCGGATGTGGGAACAGGTCTGGAACCGTATTGAAAATTCATAAAAAAATTTTAGGCGTGAAAAATTGTTCGAAGCGACATTAAGATTGGACGTACCGTTGAGAGGTTTTTGCAGGGAATTAGATTGTCCCCCAACTCATCCCTTTCTCCCCCCTTCTTTATTGGTCCTTCTTTTGACGTCTCCTCTCGAGGGAATCGACCGAGAAAATGGAGGAGAAAAGGACAGAAAAAGAAAGGCGGGAATGGAAGCGTGTGCGGGGTGGGGTGAGGGTGGGGGTGGCTGTGGCGGGTGACTGGGGCGACCCCGCAGGTTCCCCCCGACAAGGCGCAAAATGACCAAAATGGCCTTTTTTGCGAGTCGTCCCTTTTCTCGCGCCTCATTTGTCTAGCGCCCGTGGTGGAACCCGCATCCTCCCCCACTCGCTCACACCCTCCCTCCTCTCGCTTTGCCCCCTCTCTCTATCTCTCTCAGATGTTAGAGATGGCAACGGGTTTGGTTGATCGAACTTCTCGACACGATCGGAGCCCTAATAGAATCTTAAAAGGGTGCCGGGATTAGGGTATCGAGTGATGCCTTCCAAGATCGAGCTCGAACTCGAGTTTAGTGGCTAGAAATTAGATGTGTTCCGAGTTATGTTTGCAACGAGTTTGGCTCATCGAACTTCTCAATCAGATCAAGAATCCCAATAGAGTCTTAAAGGGCGTCGAGCTTAGGATATTGAGTGAAGCTTCTTGCTTTGAGCTCGAACTCGAATTTAATGGCTAGAAATTAGATGTTTTTGGAGTTGAGTTTGCTGAATGGGGTTTGTTGTACTTCATAAGCATTCAAATTCGGCAAAGTAATACTTTCTTAAAACAATCTCGTATAAAGTTATGTGATTAGGCATGTATGGAGTTTCGAGAAAAAAAAGTTATTGTGTATATGTCTTTTAAACGAAAGTTTCTAATCCTATAAATTAAATGATAATTAGTTCAAGTTTGGAATAGTTTACGCAAACTCTTTTGGTGCTATAATTAAAAAACGAACAGTTCAAGCACATGAACTAAAATTACGCTTTTCCTCTTTCCTCCCTAGGGTTTTCTCTTCTCTCTCTCATCTTCACAAAACTTTCTTCTTTAACCTCCACGGTGAAGAAGATTTGAGCTAGATCTCTCCATCCTCTCTCTTCTTCCTTATCTTTGGCTAATTTGGTTATCTCCTCTTTTTCTTACTTTCCTTCCGTTTTGCGCAGCTTTTCTCTTCTGATATGATCTAGATCTGGAAAATTATCTCTCTTATTTTGGGGAGGTTTTCATCGCAATCTAATCTAGATTTTAGGATTTACGCATGTATGATTTTGGGATTTCGCTTCCCTCAAGTTTCATTTGTGTACAAATCCAGTTTCAAAAGAGATCGGAAGAGCTTTGTGAAGGATTTGCTTTCACATATGTCAAATTTGCATTCATTCAACCTTGTTACTCTAAACGACAATAGTGTTGGGGACGTCGAACGTAGACACACATCGCCGAAAGGCAAAGCCATATCAATAGATGGAAACCTCGATATGTGCTCATTACTGAAAACGGATTTGGTTATTGGTCGCCGACTATGGTTTGAAGAAGTGGATGATCCCTAACCTTGCTCAAATGATTCATCTTATTAGAACCTGTTTTTATTTTTAAGTTGTTTGGGACTTGTCTTGATTTGCAGTTGGACTGGATTGTTTTTCTCTTATATTTCCACGAATGAATGAAATGTTACTTTGACAAAAAAAAATTAAAATTAAAATGGCGGACGCAATTTTTAATTTGAAAGCTACTAATATTAATAAATAAGTACGGCGATCAAGAAGACATGATTAAAGGATTATTACGAAATCTCATGTAGCAATCAAAGTTCAGAGCTCCAATTTGATCGATCACAACATATACATGCTCAATTTGACATCTAAAACGAACTAGGAAACACGCGACTTCGTAACGCAAAACCTAATAACTCGAATCAGCAAGCGCGGAATATAGTCCCGATCGCATTTCCTCCAACTTCCAATCCAATGTCCCTCCTCGACGTAATGCTCGATCAAGATCACCCCGAATTGGGTTTGGATCGGGGAAAGAATTCTTTTCCGGTTGCAAAGGAATCCAGATCTCACTCAAAAGGAATCGAGTTCAGCCACATTTTTCCATGGAAGAGAAATGGAACTCGAAACAAAAGTCTCTCAAGAAAGAACAAGAGACTGAACTATTCAGAATCATTGCCAACGACACTTGAAAAAAAGAAAAGAGAAAAGAAGAAACAAAGATAGCCTCCCAAGCCTCCAGCACTCCCCCCCTATAACTCCATAAATACAGCAGAATACCCAAAGATCCCTCCCTCCCTCCCTCCCTCCTTCGCCGTCCCCCACTTTCTCTCTCTCTCTCTCCAAAAAGGCTACTGCACCTGCAAACTGCAACTTTTGTCTAACCCCCCCTCCTGTTCATTTCATCACCTCCATTTCTTAAAACCTGCCAAGCCCTGTGCCACAAGCTCACTGCATCACATAGCACTTCCTCTCTCTCTCTCTCTCTCTCTCTCTCTCTCTCTCTCTCTTACATCCCACCCACCAAAGACCCAAAAACAAAAAGAGAAATTTGGACAAAAATCCCGACAAGAATTAATCAATCGAGACACACACACACGCAAACGCCGAACGCTCCAATTCATACTTCCTCCTCCTCCTCCTGTCCCTCACTCTCCACTCCACCCACGAATAACCAACGAAAAAGAAAGGAAAAAAGGGGGAAAATTTTGGGGCATAAAGATCCGACCCCAGATGTTCACCCTCCGCCCCGCGGCCCCCCTCCTCGTCGTGCTCCTCCTCGCCGCCGCCGCGCGCCTCCCTCGATCGGCGTCCGACCCGGGGGACGAGCTCTGCCTCACCCGCCTCTCCGAGTCGCTCCAGGACCCGGGCCGGCGGCTCTCGAACTGGAACCGGTCCGCCTTCGCCGCCCCGTGCAACGGCTTCACCTCCTCCCTCAGCGGCGCCACCTGCACCAACGGCCGCATCTACAAGCTCTCCCTCTCCAACCTGGGCCTCCAGGGGACCCTCCCGGCGAACCTCGCCAACTGCACCTCCCTCCAGGCCCTCGACCTCTCCGCCAACGCCCTCACCGGCCCGATCCCGCCGGACCTCCAGGGCCTCGTCAACCTCGCCGTCCTCAACCTCTCCTCCAACCGCCTCTCCGGCCAGATCCCCCCGCAGCTCGCCCTCTGCGCCTACCTCAACGTCATCGACCTCCACAACAACCTCCTCTCCGGCCCCATCCCCCAGCAGCTCGGCCTCCTCGTCCGCCTCTCCTCCTTCGACGTCTCCAACAACCGCCTCGAGGGCCAGATCCCCGGCTCCCTCGCGAACCGGACCGGCAACCTCCCCCGCTTCAACGCGAGCTCCTTCGAGGGCAACAAGGGGCTCTTCGGGTACCCTTTGGCCCCCATGAAGAGCAAAGGCCTGTCGGTGCTGGCCATTGTCGGGATCGGGCTCGGGAGCGGGCTGGCCAGCCTGGTGCTCAGCTTCACCGGGGTCTGTATCTGGCTGAGGGTCACCGAGAGGAAGCTGGTCATGGAGGAAGGCAAGATCAGTCAGCTGATGCCCGATTACTGATGAATTTCTCGATGGAAATTGATGGGATTTCTTGCTCCTTTTGCTCCTTTCGGATGTGAAGATGGAGATGGAGATTTGACGTTTGTGCAGATTGAGTTCAGGTACATTTTGGATTTTTCGGTGAGTTGCGATACTCAGAGGGAAAAGGGGAACAAAAGTTCGAGCTCTGTATTTTTAGTATTTTTCTGTATTTTTCTTTTATGTTTTTCGTTTTCCACTCCCATGGCTCATTATTTTTATTTTTCGGAATTTTCCTTTTCTCCATGATTTTTTGGCCGGTTTTCTCCTTCTTCCTCCTCCTTTTTTCTTGGCCTTCTGCTATTTATTGCAAAAATTTAGGGTTCCTCCCCTTTTTTTTTGGTACCTTTCCTCTTTCTTGGTTTTCCTCTGTAATACTCCCTTTCTTTCTTTCTTTCTTTTTTTGGGTTTTTCTCCGAGGAATTAACTGTGTATAAAGCTATCTGAAACATTTAGAATGGAATAGTGCTGATCGTCTTGGGAAAAATAGAGAAAAAATAATGGAGAAGTGCTGCTTGTTCTTCTGTTTTTTTTTTTTCCCAATTTCACAATGCTATGAAAATTGCGTGGCGGCACCCAATCGGGGGGAAATAATTTCGGAATCAAATAGATTTAATGCGGGTAAAAAAGGAGATGAAGAAAATTGAATGAAAAATGGGGGTGAATAATTCATCTTGACCCCACATTCTATTTTCTCCTACATAATTGGGGGAGAAAATGGGCAAAAATTCATTTTCCTCTTCAATGGTGAAAATTACTTTAAATCTTTGGTTCGAGGTTCTATGCGCCGTTGGATTTGAAAAAAGTGGTGAAACTTCTCGTTGTCCCAAACGCTATCCGGCACCTTTTGCCAAAACCTGAAATGGTCTGAGTAGAATAAACGAGGGTAAAAGCGCCACATAACGCCTGCCTAGAAAAAAGCACACGATACAACGACTAGATATAGCCAAATCCTCCTGCTCTTTTCGGTGCTCGGTAAGGAGGAGGAAAGTTGGTCTCGTTAAATGATGACGATGCTTTTGTGCCATTGCCTATCACTTGATGTCGAATCATTCACGCATGCTAGGAGGGTTCAAAACAACTCGAATTCGACAATTACTTTATGAGGGTGAGTTATGGGCAAATCGCACGACTAAAGTAGCCACCACTATTCGCGGGTAGAGAGTTAGTGATCCATCTCTTCCTTTTCTATCTTCATTTTTTTTTCTTCATCTAAAAGTGAAAAAAAGTAGGCAAGACACGGCAAAAGATTTCGGCCCGCCCTCGCGAGGGGTAGGTCTGCTATTTGGACCGGGCGTATCACGGCCGTCCATTTGCGGGTCTCTCACGCGTGGGGCTCACTTGTGTTCCATAAATTGGACGATTGTGATGAATTTTGATTCGAACCTAGATCCATTCGAGAAATTCCCCTTCATGAGAAGGCCGGGGTGGAACCATTCGAGCGCAGCCTACGGTTACGTGACCAACATTGCAACTTCTCTCTCCACCATGGCTCTCATGTCTTGTTTGAAAGATAAAATCTTCTAACAAAACTTTCAATTTTCTTATCGAAGCTTAGAGCGGTAGTTGCTTTCCGATTTAAGGAAATAGGTTTCTAATTGGTGAGTTAGAAATATGGACATTACTCACGTATAAGCTTAACTAAAACCAAATATAAATGATGGTTCAACAAAAAAAATAGTCGAAATTTTTTTTATCCAGAACATATGCTTCATATTATTCTTTGGAAAAAGGACACTAGAAGTCCACGACTTTTTCACGTCGCTCACTTTAGTATCAAAACTTTTCGCCATATCACTTAAATGCCACTTTTATAAAAATCAAGCTATTGTATAAGAAAGGCAAGACAATCGTTCGAATTCTACGAGCAAACAAAATGAAATCCTGGGTTTCACCATCGATGATAAAAAACAATACCAGGGTTTAAAAGAAAAGGTTGGCTATTCTTAAAGGCCACCTGATTCTCTATGTGGACTATTTTTTCATAAAAAAATCGCGTAAGTATTAATATTTTATTTAAGGGTTAATACTACGAAAAATCTCAAACTGATACATTTGTGATCAATTTACCCCAAAATAATTTTTTGATCACAAAAAACCCCAAATTAGTATACTTGTGACAAATATACACAAAACTAATTTTTTAACCGACAAAAATTGCAAATCGCTACATTTGTGACAAATTTACCATCCGTTAAATTGGATCAATACCACAAAAAATCACAAACTGGTACAACTGTGACAAACGGAGGATAAAACCCTAAATTAGTACACCTGTCAACTGTCACGTGTTATCCAACTTAAAAATTCGATGATAAAATTTAACGGAAATCAACGGAGGGTAAAATTGTCACATGTGTACTAGTTTGGTGTTTTTGGTAATCAAAAAATTAGTTTTTGGTAAAATTATCATAACAGTTTAGGGGTTTTTTATGGTATTAACTCTTTATTTAAAATGTCACGTAAGATTTACGAACAAATTTTGTCACTGGAGATACTTAAGTGATCATTTTTTTTACCGATATCGCACTGAAGTAAGTGCCATATGAAAATTATGGCATTTCTAGCGCCATTTTCTTCCATTCTTTTTATTATTATTCTCCCCGCCAAATTAGAAAAGCATAAGAGATTCCACATCTGAGCATATCTCATCTCTGAGGATGTGGGTACGATGTCAATGATATTATGTACGGGGGGGGGGGGGGGGGGGGAGCCAAATGCGGTCTTGGATTACTGGTATTAGCTAAGCGAGCTGGATATATATATAATATTAATATTATAATAGTCGACACGTGGGCGTAGTTGGATCCATAATTGCGATCTAAGGATTAATCTACTTGGGTTATAAAACCAAGGCTCGAACCAAATATAATGTAATCCGCTAGATGGAGATGGCCAAAGCGTCCTAGTGCTATTTAGCTCGTGAATAGTTGAACACGTTAATTTTGGCGGTGTATTAATTATTGGTGTTCCACAGCTTGCAGAATTCGTGCAGAGCTAAACAACAAGTGCCCCCGCACATGGTACATTTTGATGGGGGGTCTTTACTAGGCGATTCTTCTATGAATCCGAGTCTATCGATCCAAATACATTATGACCGTTGATCGGGTGGGGCGCACACACGAAATCGATATGTTTAACTGTTATGATGGATCCGGTTCATGTGGATCGGTTGAACCGGATTCAGACCTAGTATTTTTGCCCTTCTTTGAAGCTTCATATGTGAATGCGTGCCTAGATCAAGCGAGAAGTCAAAGTTAGTCGAAATGGTTTCTCAATTGCCCTTTAAGATTTGGTCGGTAATGATTAAGGGTGAGCGGTTCCAGGTTCCTTACAAGTTTCATGTGGAACTTGTAACCTACCATCGAGTATAGGTTTCTTATTTTTTGTAAACCTACTCGTCGGAACTTGGAACCTGAAATCTATCCCGTCGGAACTTGGGTACAGGTTCCAGGATAAGTTCCAGGGTCTAACAAATTCTTTTTATTTATTTCATTTTTAGTAAAACAAAATGAAAATGAACGCAACAATACTGAACAAGCTTGTCATTTGCTAAAGAGAATACAAAAGATTAGTTTTCCTAGCATTACGATTCAAATAATTATAATTAAAATAATAAGTCATTGCATGAATCAATACTACGGGTGAGCGATTCCATGTTCCGTATAGGTTCCAACCATGATAATAGATTTCTCATTTTTTTGAACTTGAAACCTACCCTATCACAGGTTCGAGGGTCGATTCCAAGGTCTACCAAAATTCCACATGCATTATTAATTGAACAATTGTAGTTAATCATCATCTTTAATAATCACCACTTATTGCTATGATCCACTAACCACAACTTATATTTAGACACACGAAAAATATGAAACATTAACAAATTATAAAATGAAAGCTCGGATTAGTGATTCAAAATTATACACTCATCATCTAATGCCATGAAACACTACGGAATCACGTGAAGACATAGATCAAGTTAAAATATAAAAAACTTATTTAGGTTTCAGGTTCCAAGTTTCAGGTTCACCTACCTAGAACTTGAAACCTACCCGTCGAAACAGGTTCCTTAATTTTTGGAATATGGAACCTACCCTGCATACCTTAAAACCTGGAACCTACAAATTCCCACATGTCAGGTTCTCATGTTCTAGGTTTTATCTTGGAACCATGCTCACCCCTAGTAATGGTAGCCACTGCCTTGAACTGAATTATTTATTATTATTATTTTTTATCTCCCTTCTCTTTTCTATATATATGTGTGCGAGATACTCATAGGGATAGGATCCCAAACCTAATATTCTTTGGCCTCACCTCCCAATCCATTTACCAGCAGGGCTGCATGCTTGTTGACGGATCTAGAGTCTTTTAAAAAGTTTAAACCGGGGCATCTCTATCAATTTTTATTTTCCATTTTTCTTTTGAAAAATATAATACACCTCAGTTGAAGTGTTTTTTTTTAAGGTGCTATCCTCTCCTCAATTTTCAAGGCCTATTGTGTATCAAAGCTCTTCTTTTGAGCCATTGGCAAATAGATTTCTCTCTTTTATTTTTGATATTTTTGGAAATTAGGAAAAATACCCTTTAGTTGAAGTTATATTTTAAAGATGTGACCTCAATTTTCAAGGCATGTAAAGAGTATTTTTTGCTATTGGGATCCATAATAGCGAAATTGCTTATGCGTTGTGTGTGGGCACAAAATGATATCTAAAGCATTTGACAAAATTGGCTCAGTGGAAACATTTAAATAATTAATGCATGGAAAAAAAATTGTTGACACAATATGAAAAAATTGTACACATATATACATGGGATAATTGTCCAAAAAATCTTTCAATCTGGCATATTTAGACCTAAACCTATTTATGATTTTCTAATTTAGTCCTTCCGGCCAGTTAAGGAAATTATTGATGTTAATGGCGAGCATCCAACATGGGAGGGCTAGAGCTGACATGGACAATTTTATAATTTTTTAGAGAAACGTAATGAATTTTTTCCTTTTCTTTTCTTTCCTTTTTCCTTTTTTCCTATTATATCCCCCAGACACAATCGAGGGTCAAGACAACCTCATCAGATCTGGATGAGGTGAAGGCTAGCACACAGCGGAGGAAAATAGGAAAAAGGAAAAATAAAAAGTTCAAATAATTTTTAAAAAAATTTCAAAAATAGTTTATGTCAGT